GGGGAATATGTTCACAATCCCCTACCATGTCTTGTTTTCCTGTGGTATGGTAGCTGCTAAATTGGAAAGATAATGCAATTCCTCAATAATGAAGGAGCCAACATCCAAGGTAATATGCCACTGCACGTTTATCACTTTGTGTTTGTTGTTTAGCACAAATTAAAAAACCCAGAAATGTCATCAAAGGTTCGGGCGGGGGGTTGAGAGAGACAAATTTCAACCATGAGTTTTGGTAGTCCACTGCTATAGATTTGGAGGGTTGGCATTTGGTCTGGAAAAAGTCCAGAAAGTATTCTGGTACTAAGAAGAAGTACTAATTTTGTTCTTTTTCTGATATGGGAAAATCTGCATCAACAAAGGGAGCACTGGGATGTTTACAACTCAAGCATGATGCCATGTGAGTATGCACTCATCCACCCCCCCAAAAAAATGAGTGCATGCAAATAGACAGTAAATGACTGGTGTGAAAGTGAAAGTGCCCTTCCAGCATTCTACCCTTCATATTGCCCTCTATGCAGTAGGATTCTGTAAAGTTAGACACTTGGGCTTAGCACACCACTACTGTAGCAGCCATTAATTTTGTTAATCCAAAGCTCAGGCTGGGATGAGCAAGAAATACATGTGTTTTTGGGATACCAAATTTATTTCTGGAACAAAACCAATTGGGTCTGCAAATCTCTACAAGGCTCTTCTGTAAATAAGTCCAAGCCAGTTGAATTTTCCCTGTTGAACAGCATTATTAAGAAATAATAAATTAAGGAAACCTCATTTGGGGAACACCCCTTAATGGTCATGGAGGGTGGGCAGAGTTATCTTTACACTGTTCGGGTTATATGCATAACTGTATCCCACAGCTGCTTTCACAAAAGTTATTGAAGGCAACTCAAAAAAGTTTATAAAACGTAAACAAAGACTATTAGAGCATGTCAGGGAACTGACATCGGAGCTAGAGGTGGAGGGAAGGCTCTCTGATGATGCTGGAGAAGGGCCCAGCAGGGAGAGAGGCAGCTCAACAGATGGGGAAGCAATTCAGTGCAACACCAGGAATAAGGAGGGGCAGATGGGGGAATCGGCGAGAGGGCTCCCAGACTCTTCACCGGACACCAGCGGGGAGAGCACTGGTCCTCCGCTACCCACGCCCTCCCTGCGCAGAAGACTTCCGCACAGAGAAAGTAGGAGGAGAGTGGGTGTCAAACAACTTTTATGTTGGAAAAGGTTTAAGAAACGCCCACTGACGGATTCTGCTAGCGACTGAGGCAGCCACGAATTGAAGGGCTGTCCAGACAGAAAGGTTTAACAAGGCAACATAGCCAGGAGAGGCGGCAACTTATGCACGAGCAACCCCATACCATTATAGAGCATTTTAAAATGACTTTTAAAAGTGCCTTTAAAAATGACTTGGTAGCAACAGAGAAAGGGAAAAACAGAAGCCTGCTAGTAAAGTTTATATTTGGAAAAGCAAAGTCAATTTGACATATGAAAAGTTTCTCTTCACAGGTATAAAAATTGTTTCTATCAGGTAGTAGCCATCTGTCCATCATAACCACATCTGAGCTTGTGTTAATAACTGAACAGCTTAAACAAAACAAAAGCAGACCCAGCTGTAAACTGAGTTGTGAAGAGCAATTCATTAATGCTTGCAAAAAGCTTTGTTAGGTTTTTTCATTGTTAGGTCCAAAACAAGGATCCACAGACTTGATAGCTATTTAATGAGCGCTCACTCTGAAGCTTGACAATATTGTATCACATATATGCAAAGTGCAGAACAGACCAGAGTCCTATCAATTTCCATAGGTCTTCTGTGCAAGCAGAAAGGCACCTTTGGGAGTCAAATGTTCTGTACTTGATAGCCTTTCTGTTTCAATGGGAGGGTTTCACACCTCAGCATTTGAATGCTCCATTGGGGAAGAAAAAGAATATACACACCTTTGAAATTCTTTGCAGTTCTGATGGTGTTGTGGCTCCAAATGCAGTATTTCAAAAATGCTTCCATTAAAATGTCCTTTGAAGCCAGCATGGATTGAATATTTGCTATAGATTATGCTCCTCCAGTGCTCCAGTTGGTGTTTACAAGCAGATGTTTAAAATTCAAAGCCCAAGCCTATGTTTCAAAGTTGTTCTTTCTGGAGGCGGTAGAATCTATTTGAGCAGAAATTCCTCAGCCGAATGAACTTCTAATGTGGCATCTGTGGCTTTGCCTCAAACTAAAAAGCCTTTGAAAATTTGCATGACCTGAAAAAGAGATTTAGAGTGATTTGTATGCAGATAGGTTTGTTTAACCTGCATGTATTTATGCAATCATTTTCAGATCAATTGAGAGAACCTTCTCACAGGTGCAAAAGCCCACCCACCTCCCACAAATTCCTCCCAAACTTCCTAGCCAGAAGGAAAATCTCCACATATATAGCCTAATAACATAATCAGATACACATTGGGAGTCTCCCTGGAGAGTTGGGTCTTTGAAAACCTTTCCAAAGGGAAATAAACATAGGCTGTTAGATTTCTGCCGTTTCAATAGAAGGACAGCGGAGATTTGAACAGGCAAACTTCCAGTCTGTTTTCTATTTTCTAAGGGTTTGTTTTTGGGTACAACAGCAAGTAATAGTCAGGGCAAAGCAGTCCAAGTGGAACCCATGTAAGAAAAAGAAGGAAAGTCAAACTGCATTTTAAGCTCTGGAGACGAAACCTTTGGGACAACGATAGCCCTACAGTTTCCACTTTGCTGGCATTTTCTTGCCTTTTCTTTATATGTCACATTCTTCATTAGTTAAGTGCAGAGTAATCAGCATTGTGAAATTGTGGACTTCCTCAGTTCAGGGTAGTGCAGAAGGCTGAACACAGGAAAGGTCAGGGCTCTTTTTATAGAATTCCACTCACAGCAGATAAAATCAAGGGTTCCCTAAGCAATTAGTGGTTAGGTCCCTGTGAAAGTAAGTACCTTTCAAAATGGTTTTGACAGATAGGGGAAAGAAGTGAAAAGGAATTAGAGATTTATTGAATTTGGGGGAGAAGCAAGATTGCAACATACTCTAGTTTATCTCTTGGATGCAACTGGCTTTGCTATTTGGTATCTTCAGAAAAAGTGAAAATGAGGGTTAAACTCAGCTTGATGTGGTAGATTCGTGAACAGAATCTCCTGGGGGGTTGATATTTTTAATATACCTATAATGCTTCCACCACAAGGCAAATAGCAGCTTTACAAGGTGATTTATATAAGACAAATGGCTCACTTGGATTTTTTGAAAAACAAAAACAAACCTGTTAGGGCCCTGATCAGAATATATATTTTCAGGAAATCCTTTCACAAATCTCCTGCATCGCATCTAGTTTGACACTGATACTCTTGTGCCAGTGTAATTCAGAGCATAGAATGCTTGAATTCTGGAAGATGTACTACTCAAAAATACATTTATTTCACTCTAGCAATAGTTTCTAGATCAGTCTAGATGTCAGATTCTTTGGCGATCACTCATAGCTGAGTAAGATTGTCTTCCATGAACACGGTCTTAACAGTGAGTCCACAAGTGACTGCGGAGGCCAATTCTGGATCCACACGTCCTTCCACAGCGGGTACATAGGTTTCTGGATGAGGGTTTGCCAAATGTGCCTTCCTCTTAGCACGTTTCTCCCTTTTGTCCTGAGTTTGAGTGTCTTCAAAGTCCATGACACCTTTGATAAAGGCTGTTCTCCAACTGGAGCACTCGCAGGCCAGTGTTTCCCAGTTGTCAGTGTTTATACTACATGTTTTTAGATTTGTCTTGAGAGAGCCTTTTAAAACTCTTTTGTTGACCACCAGCATTACACTTTCCATTTTTAAGTTCGGAATAGAGTAGTTGCTTTGAAAGACGATAATCAGACATCCAAACAACATGACCAGTCCATCGAAGTCTATGTTGAAGAATTATTGCTTCGACACTGGTTATCTTTCCTTCTTCTAGTACACTTCTAGTTCGCCTGTCTTCCCAAGTGATAGGTAAAATTTTTTGGAGATACCTTTGATGGAATCTTTCGAGGAGTTGGAGATGGAGTTTATAAGTGGTCCACATTTCACAAGCATACAGTAAGATTTGTAATATAATAGCTTTGCAAACAAGCATTTTGGTTTCCCCGGTCCTCAAACTCTCTGCACTTCAATCAGGATAAAGCTGCCCTCGCAGAGCTCAGGTGATGCTTGATTTCGGCATCAATGTCAGCCCTTGTGGAAAGACCAGGTAGAAGTGATCAATACTTTCCAACATTACACCGCTGAGTTGGATTTGTGGTGGTACAGAAGGGTTGTTTTGTGCTTGCTGGTGCAGCACTTTGGTTTTTTGGATGTCGAGCGATAGGCCAAGCTTTTCGTAAGCTTCTGCAAAGATATTTAGGATGGTTTGGAGGTCGTTCTCTGAGTGTGCACACACTATGTTGTCAGCAGCATACAAGTTCTATGATGGAAGTTATGGTAACCTTTGCTTTCAGCCTACTCAGATTAAAGAGCTTTCCATCTGTATGATATATGATTTCTACTTAGGTGGGGAGTTTCCCTTCGACAAAGTGTAGGATCATGGTGATGAAAATAATAAATAAAGTTGGGGTCATAGCACAACCCTGTTTAACACCTGATCCCACTGTGAATGGTTCACTTTGAGAGCCATTGTTATCGGTGATTCTTGCTGTCATTTTATCATGGAGGAGCCGAAGGATGTTCACAAATTTATCTGGGCAGCCGATTTTCAGAAGGACAGTCCACAGGGCATTATGATTTACAGTTTCAAAGGCCTTAGTCAGGTCAATAAACACCATATACAGGGGTTGGTTTTGCTCTCTGCATTTTTCTTGAAGCTGTCGAGCGGTTAAAATAATGTCCACTGTCCCTCTAGAAGGTTGAAAACCATTTTGGGATTCAGGAAGGGTAGCCTCAGATATTATTAGGAGATGGTTTGCTAAGATCCTTGTAAGAATTTTGCCGGCCACAGCTAATAAAGAGATGCCTCGATAGTTTCCGCAATAGGTTCTATCACCTTTTTAAAAAGAGATTGATACTTTTGGCATCCATAAAGTCTGCTGGGATCTCTTCTCTCTCCCAGATTTTTTCGATGAGCTTGTGAAGTTGTTGTGTAAGTTCAGTTCCACCCACTTTGGAGACTTTGGCAGGTATCCCATCAGGTCCACTGGCTTTGCTGTTTTTCATTTGGTTAACGGCTGTACACAATTCTCCCAGATTTGGAGATACTGCAAGCTCATCTCTAATTTGTTTTTGTGGAATTTGTGAGAGGACCTCAGCAGCTATGTGGGAGTTGTGGTTATGGAAATGCTGGTAATCTTCTTTCCAGTGCAGTGCAATAGCTTCTTTATCTTTTAGAAGTGTGGTGCTGTCTATTGAGTGTAGGGGGCATATACCATGATTTATTGGCCCATGGATGGTCTTTGTGGCTTTAAAGAAACTCTGTGCATCATGAGTGTTGGCTAAGTGTTGGATCTCTTGAGCTTTTTTTATCCACCAGGTGTTCATTAGTCCTCTGGTTCTTCTTTGAACCTCAGCCTTGGCATTGGCATAGCTTTTTTTCTTAGTGGTGCATTTTCTCTCTCTTTGCCAGATCTGAAAGGCCTTCCTTTTCTTGTTAATAATGCGTTCAATCTCACTGTCATTCTCACCAAACCAGTCCTGGTGTTTCTTGGTTTGGTATCCAATAGTTTGTTCATAGGCTGAAATAATGGATGTTTTTAGCCTCGTCCAGTGTTCCTTGATGTTGTCAGGGAACTCCAAAAGCAGATGGTCCTTAAGATCACTTAGCCTAGATATCAGATTATGTCCATTGGCACTATGGGATAACCCTTTTGCAATTATAACAGTGCAATATCAACTTCCAGCATTTATTAAAAGTAATTTCTATAACACTTTGCCACCTATAAAAGCCATACAGTTTTCATGCTGCCTTCATAAGTTAGACTAGAAGTCTGTGGTTTATGTGTGGCTTCTTTCTTAATAGCTGAGCAGGTGCTTTGAGATTGGATCATCATTCAAGTAATCAAAGTACCCTGGCCGCTACGCTAGGAAGCCTCCCCACCCATCTGCAATGCTGGTACATGAAAATGGCTGCACTGCAGATTCAAGGATAAGTGATCGCATTCTATATCCACTTTATTATAAGTACAGTATCTGTTTTCTCTGGATTTGACCCTAAAGGATTTAGGTAGAAATCCTATTCACACTTACTTGGACAACTGAACACAGTGCCATACAGACAAGCATAGAATTGCATTGTTAATATGTAATCCTAGGCAGGTTTATTTGGGAGTAACCCACTTAGTGGTGTTTGCTTTCAAGTTTGTATGGTGGACCCATACACATGATGGGGCCACATGTTCAGGACAGTTATCAGCACTCACATTAATTATTAGGAGCATTGTGAAGTTGGACTTGGTACCAGAAGTCATAGATATGTTCACTTCCAATATTGCATTATGTATTGCAGAATACTGGTTTTTCTGCAAACAGCTTTCGCAGACTCCCAAGAAAGTGAGTTTTCATTTCAAAAACTTTACTTGAATCTAGTCCTCATGACTGCAACTTATAGGGGAAAACCTAAATCCACAAGGGCAGTTTCAGTCTTTCACTTAAAACATAAAAACTGGAGGAGGTATGGTTTCACAAGCTCCTTAGGATTAACCAGCCATTACTCAGGACAGTTCTCATTCTCTCTGTGTGGTACCCTGTCTCCACTGTTCACAGACCAGCAACCTAGGCTGAAATATTGAATCTGCAACAAATTCCAAATTAAGGAAAGGAAAGGAAAACTCCCAAAAGCAATTTGTGCAGCATAAACCATGCAAATTGAATAAAAGCATTGGTGAATATAACCGGTTTGCACAATATATCTCCATCTCAGCAGACTTTAGGGATTTGTGACCCAGAATTCCTGCCCCTTTGCCTATAAAGCTAGGCTGCTATCATAGCCATGGGAGCCCTTCCCATAACAGTTTGCTGAGAGTTGCTGTCTGATCATGTTAAAGAGCTGCTACGTGTGTGCTGGTGTCACATCTCAAGTGAACCACGAGCATTTCCCCATGCCTTGTAGAAAGCCTAACACAGAAAGAAGTTTGTCAATTACATTTTTAATCAGCCTTGAAAAATCACTGTGTAAAACAAAAGAGAACCTTTGAAGAAGAAGAAGAAGAAAAGGACATTGAAAAATGGGCAAGATGTAATAGGGGAGAAAAAGTCTGTGATAAAGTGCTGTCTGGAGAAATGGATGAGGAAATATGCCCTGTGAAATAAATTGAGAAACAGCAGAAGATGAGAAGATCTCATTTGTCTCACATGCACTCCTCTCTGTGATTGAGCAATAACAGTGCAATCAAAGGGCTGCTTTGAAATTGTCTCTCTTGTTCTGGATTCACAAGGAAGCTATCTAGGAAGGAGGAACAAGCACTGGACAACACCGGTGCATTCTTTAAAACTTAGTACCTCTCTTGACGCATCTGTTCATGTGTCCTGGCAGTGGCAGCACATCGTGGGAGCAGAGTTGTACTTAATTTGGAGAGCGAAAAGTCATATCAGTTCAGGTCTTTCACAATTGGTGACGTAAAATAAGTTCCTTGCTTGCAGGATCTGGCATGTGACTAAAATCGAGATGAAACTGCAAAAACAATGCATTCTGAATTAGCAGGAAAGCATGCTCTCTGGAAAGCTTGCCTTCAAGCAGTGGTCTTTAAACTTTGTACCTTTCCATATCTGGCTTCTCAGTCTGCCAAAGAACCCTTATGGGTACACCATAATTCAGAGCCAGATATGGGGTGGTGTGGGTGGTTCCCCTGCACAGGGTGCTGAGCAGAGGAGGCGCAAAATTTAGAAGATCCATAATTGAGAAGATCTATTTGGGGGCCCTAATTTTGACCTTCACAGGGTGCCCTATTATGAAAGATTACCAAAGTCTGCCCCTGCATCATTGCACACTGCCAAGGCTTCTGTTATGTACTGAGCTTGGATCCTAGAACAATAGGTAGGTAGTATCCGAGAAGGCAGCAACCTGATTGGTCTGCAGGAGCTGCCCAATCTGACCCCAGGATGAAGTGAATCAGCAACCTGATCGGCCTGTAAGAGCAGCCCAATCAGGCTCCAGGAGGAAGTGAATCGGCAACATGGTTGGCCTGCAGGAAGAGTCCAATCAGGCTCCAGGAGGGGAGCTGAATCAGCCAATCACACGGGACCCATTGTATAAATAATGTATATATAGCCAGGGGTTTTAGGGGAAAGCACTCACTCACTGTTTACCATGAGCTGAAATAAAGAGCGTGAAATCAGCACTCAACTCCGAGTATATTTCAGCTTCTGAGACTCTCTGCACTCTCATTTCACTGAGATTGTGACCCAGAGCACACCAAATGTTCTTTTCATGTCCTACATACAGGTGCCCTTTAGATTGCAACACGATTTAGCCACAGCCAAATGGATATGATGGGGGCTGTTTGGAGGCCATCGTGTTGGCTCCCCCTACCCTACAACAACTAGGTAGGTAACCAGGTTTAGGCAGAGATAACTGAAACAATTGCATACTGTATTCTTCTCCTGTGTGCCCCATCTCCCCCTTTTCTCTGCTGTTTTTCTTTATAATTTTTAAAATTGTTTTCATGAAAGATTTTCTCGGGTTACAAAAGTACATACATCGTCTCTGTTTTCAGATCACAAGGTCCTTTCTAAAGATCAGTTCTGTTCAATGTGAGATGTTGATGTTGTATACAGTCATACCTTGGAAGTTGAATGGAATGGAAATCGACTTCCAAAACGTTCGGAAACCAAAGCGTGGCTTCTGATTGGCTTCAGGAAGCTTCTGCAGCCAATCGGAAGTTGTAAAAGCCCCGCCGGATGTTCGGCTTCCAAAAATAGTTTGCAAACTGGAACAGTCACTTCTAGGTTTGCAGCGTTCAGGAGCCAAAACATTCGAGAACTAAGCTGTTCTACTTTCAAGGTATGACTGTATAGTTCAAGGTTGGGGGAGAAGAGAGGTGGGGGAAAGAGAGCAGGGAGTGAGAGAGGGGGGTTAGTAAACTTTCATTCTTTTACATAGTGTATGTGCAAGGTTTTTGTCTCAGTGTCACGTAGGTAGGTTTTCTTTCTTATTCATGTATTAGTTTTTATTGGCGGTGAGAGAGATTTTGAGGGCAGTGCATGGCTGGTTGCCTATAGTTGAATGCAGTGAGTTTTGTTTGCATGTGGGAGGAGGGGTGGTTGTTGGGTTAGCTTATCCATATTGATTTGTATGCTGTCAGTGGGTTCTTGTTATTGTCTTGTTGAGGTGTGTGTGTAATGAAGAGGAGCCAGACCAGATGAAGGCATCCTCTTTTATTTGTCCCCATGCTGTTTCAGTTTTTGGTTAGCTTTTCTAGTAAGCCTGTTTCCATACAGTTTGGTACCATTGGTCCATGTTCACTCCTGACAGGCTTAGACCACAGTTTAGTCCATTGGGTAGGGTTTCTACACAGCATGTGAATCAACTTATAGTAGCTTCTTACTGAATCGATAATTCCATTCTGTGGGCTATTCCACAAATACTGCATTATATCCAATGAAGTAGTTCCATCCAGAGGTCCACTAGGGCTGCCATATGTCCAGATTAATGTGAATTTCTGAAAGGTGGTGCTTTGTCCTGGATCTTAGGCAAGTCAATTGAAAAATTGTGGTTTGGGGGCGATTTTTGGGGGCGGGGACAACAATTTTGTGGTCTTCCTAAGGGTGTTCTGGTTTTTACCCTATTTCCTCTCCTCTCCCCATGTGTCCACCATGCCTTCCGCCACAAATGTATTCAAGAGGGTTGGGGGGAATGCAGAACGTATGGTGCAAGTGTATGTCATTGCATTAACAGAACAACTTAACTGTATTCAACCCATTAATTTGGCAGAGAAATCAACCACCATTTAATGCATTTACCACTAGCTCCTGAGCATGAGCATATGAAGTGGCCATCCCGTAATTAAATGGTAGGCTGGTGACAGTCATTGACTTTGCCAGCAAAGTGTTGTTTCCCCAGTTTTCTTATGCATTACTTTTAATAGTCCATATTGTCTATCTGTTCGTGGGTCCATCAGCAATCCATCACCTTTCAAGAGGATGCCTGAAGCCAGAAATAATGTCAGGATGTCTTCTCAAGCCCCTTTTCCCACCCCGCTCTTGCAGACCATCTAACTGTGCAACACTTAAGAGCAGACACAGTTAGTCGATGGTAAGATAATCCGTGGTTTGTCACTACTGAATATTTTATGTGCTTCTTCCACCAAAGGGATTGTCCAAGTTAGCAGCAAAACAGACAGTAGCAAAAGGGGGGGAAGGAGGGGAGCACTGATTATTGTACTGTCAGCTTTGACTCTCACTTTAGTGAAAGTAAGAAACAGCAAAGCCAGACAGTCGGTGCTTTGGAAGTTTCTTCCATTTTGACAACACAACATTTCCATCTGACTCATAAATAGATCCCATATTATTTTTCACCAATTTATAAAACGAGGGGATTTCTTTCCAACCCTATCTCCCCCCTCCCTTTCTGTAGATTGTTTTGGTGGGAGATAAAAACATTAATTAGCCTAGCTCTCATTTTAGATTTCAACAATAAAATCCTACCCAATAATATCAGTTTAATAGCATCAGAGTTGTGGATTTACAAGAAGAAACATTCTGTGTCTCTGCACTGTGGAGAATATTGAACTTTGACACCATTAGCCAGAATTTATTTTCCTTTCCACATGTTGTTGGGGGGGAAAGAGGAAAACAGCAAATGAAAATGCAGCGAGCATTAACTGTCAGCACTATAGAATAGGAAATGGAGAGAAA